TCGGTATCGGCTCTGCCTCCAGCACCGGCCTCTGCATGGCATCAGCCCCGAGGCTGACGCGAGCCTGGGTGACCTGGACTGGTTTGGGTGCAGGGAACACCGATTTGGTGGCACCGAGGGCCGGGAGCCGTGCGGGAAGAGAACATGAGCGCCCACACCAGGACCCCGTCCTGGCCAGAAGACCCTTGGTTGGGAGACATTCTGGGTTTGGGAGCCACCCCGTGTGCTCATCCTGACCCTGGAACCTTTTGCTTTACCAGTGCCGGGGCTGGGGCTGGTGCCAGTCCACAGAAAAGCGTTATGGTCCCACCTTCCCGGGATTATCCCGGGAAAAGCTCCCTCAGTGCCTCGGGTTCCAGGATCCCTGCAGATGGGCCCTGACGGGGCTTCCCTGGCTGGACAGGGAGCGGGATGATCCTGGTCTTGGAGGAGGGCAGTGGTACATGAAGGGTTAACGGGCTGTTAATCACCACGGGAGCCTGAGCAGCCATTTCCCTCCAGGACTTCACCGCTCGTTGTCCCCTCCAGCACCCTGAGCCCCCAGGCCCTGCCCCATGGCCCCAGGGCTGAGCCATTTGCATGAAGACGTTTTCTCCAAAATGTCCAATTTTCCTGTCCCTGTTCCCTGGAGCACAGCCCAACCTCCCCCGGCTGTCCCCTCCTGTCAGGAGCTGTGCAGAGCCACAGAGTCCCCCCTGAGCCCCCTTTTCTCCAGGCTGAGCCCTTCCAGCTCCTTCAGCCTCTGAGGTTTCTTCATCTCAGCCATGGATTCACGGGCTGCCAGCACAGACATGGTTTGCTTGGTTTATTCCCCAGATTTTCCAGACACCTCTTACCACACCGGTGATATTTCCCTGGGAATGTCAGTTCAGAAGCTTTGATCCCAGGACAGCAGCTGCTGGAGATCCCACTCCTTGTGGCAGTGGGGAGTTAAGGCTGGGTCTGACCCAGCAGCTCTGCCCCCTCAGCAGTGAGGGGTGCTGGGGCCTGGAGCATCCCACTTGGGCACTGCCAGGGATCCAGGGCTCAGGAGACAAAGGAACCATCCCTGCTGTGGGAATGGAGCTGCATCCCAATCCAGGACACATTCCCTCCTCTGAGGGCTGGGAGAGCGCAGGATGTGCAGCTGGAAAACCACAGCCCAGCCTGGAGAGGGACTGGGGACAAGGCATGGAGGGACAGGACACAGGGAATGGCTTCCACTGCCAGAGGGCAGGGATGGATGGGAGATTGGGAATTGGGAATTCCTGGCTGGGATGGAAATCCCAGAGCAGCTGTGGCTGCCCTGGATCCCTGGAAGTGCCCAAGGCCAGGCTGGAGCAGCCTGGGACAGTGGAAGGTGTCCCTGCCATGGCAGGGGTGGCACTGGATGATCCTTAACATCCCTTCCAATCCAAACTATTCTGGGATTCTCTGAGGAATAAAAGCAAAGCCAACCCAAGGACTTCACTTGAAGCCAGTGCCAAAATGTTTTTGGGACATTATTCCTGTACCTGGGATGGGCAGGATGCTGTGGGGCCAAGTGTTATTTCCCCAGTCCTGCTCAGAACTCCTGGAACTGCAGCACGGCACCAGCTGGGTGCTCTCTGCTGCTCCTCAGGAGCCTGGAGACTTCATTCCAGCTGGAGCTCTGACTGAGGACACCCCTCCAACTGGAGGCAACACATTTTCCCTCTTGGCACGCAACTGGAATATTCAAAAATGCTGAAAACCACCAGCACGTGGGGAGAAAACACAAAATCTGCATGTGCTGCCTCCCGGCTCCTCTCCTCCACCCTTCTCCCTGCTGCATTTCCACTTCCCAGAGGAACATCACCAACACGCTGTACACACGTTTAGAATATACCCATGGGGTTTTCCCCCCAGAATTTCAGAAACCAAAGCAGCATCTCGCCCCACAGGAAAACATGAGGTCAATATAAAAATAGAATCCAAAACCAGAGTTAGTTCTGCAGGTACAGTAATGGGAGAGCAGCTAAAGTGGGGAAATAATGCCCAGAATTGGTTGCTTCAAACATCAGTTCACAATCCTATTCTCAATTTTTCATTTTTCATCCCTGGAAACTTCCACTGTTTCTCTGTGGTTCTCTTGGTGCTCTCCAGCACGTGTTGTTTGGTGCACCAGGTTTTTTTAAATGTCCCTTTTGGCAGAGCCAGTGCTGCTCTATCCCACTCCTGCTCCAAGGAGGAGCTGGATGGAGCATGGTAAGAATGACAGGAATGATCCAGCTCCTGAGCAGTGACAGGGCAGCAGCAGCTTGAACCAGAGCTTCATGTCTTAGGTTGCAATGCAAGATGTAACCAAATGCATTCCATCACCAGGCGTTAAAGCCAGGTGGGGCAGTGTTCTTTATCTCTTCCAGGACCCTTCCTTTGTCCAGGGAGATATCTTCTGTTAATGGCCCATTAAGTGTCCCTGCATGGCTGATAAAATTCCACCATCCCATTGGGAGATGCTCTGCCCAGGGGGAGGAGCCAAGCATTCCAAACTGGATATAACCTGGGGTCTGGAACACCACAGCAGCATTTTCCACTGGATTCCCAGAGGAGCAGTTTCCTTCTCCACGGCATTCCCAGAGGAAGACCAGGCTCATCTACACCACCGCTGGAAGAAAGAGTTTCTCAGAGGAAAACTCCAACCTTCTGCAGGATCCCTGCTCCGACAGAGCCACAGCTGGCACTGCAGGAGGGCTGCAGCCAACACCCTGACCCACAGGGAGCCAGCCTGTGTCCTGACTCTGTCAGTGCTTTTGCACCACTGCATTTAATTCTAATTTTCCTTATTACATTAGTAGTTCTGATTTGGGATCTCCCGCTGGTTAGAGTGGGAAAACTGCCTTATCCCCAGAATCTAACCCACAGAGGACTACCAAGCCCCACCTCTGGGCAGAGCAGGGGTTTGACAGCTGACTGCAAAGCTCTACTCTAGGCAGGCTTGTGGCACGTGGCTGAGATGGTCTATGAGGAGGGGCCTTTGGAGGGGGGGTTTCTCCAGCACGCAGAATGGTTTCTCCAGCACGCAGAAGGGTTTCTCCAGGAAGCACAATGGCTTCTCCAGGAAGCAGAAGGGCTTCTGCAGGAATCAGATGGGTTTCTCCAGGAAAAAGGAGTGTTTTTTCAGGAAGTAGGAGAGTTTCTCCAGGAAGCAGGAGAGTTTCTCCAGGAAGCAGGAGAGATTCTCCATGAAGAAGGATGGTTTCTTCAGGAAGCAGGATATTTTTTTCAGGAAGCAGGAGAGTTTTTTCAGGAAGAAGGAGAGTTGCTTGAGGAAATAGGCGGGTTTCTCCAGGAATAAGGGGGGTTTCTCCAGGAATAAGGAGGCTTTCTTCAACAAGCAGGAGGGTTTCTCCAGGAATAAGGGGGGGTTTCTTCAGGAAACAGGCGGGTTTCTCTGGGTATCAG